TGATCATAATAGAATTAGATTACAAAAATTGTAATATATTTTATGAAATTCATTCAAAATAATAAATCATCGCCGAAAAACGAATTAATGAGTATATTAGTGTTTATGATAACATCAACAAATATATTAATGTTTAAATACCTATACCTATACGGTGCGTTTTTAACATATATCACTGAAAATTGTCTGTGAAATGAAAAACTTCAAATAAAGTTTAGTTAGTTTTATTCAAAACTTCCAATCAATGTATCACAGTATTTAATAATACAATTATATTAATTTATTCTTACAATTGCAGTAATGAAAATGACTAAAATACATTAACATTTGTCTAATTGTATAATAATAAATATATATATATATATTATATATTGCTACAATACTGTGTTATTTATATATATATAACTATATATATATATATATATATGATATACACCTAGTCTGTTTTTACACGGTAGATTGGTTCCAGAAGAAGCCGTGTAAAAGACATTGATCTTATACAAAAATGGGTTGATTTGTTCCTAATCTCTAAAACCTATTAAAGTTAGTGAAAAAAAAAGTTTTTAACAACAAGAATTCATATTTATTTTATTAAATCAATATATAATGCTATTTTCACAAGCATAGTAATTAATGATAAAAAAGATATGCACTCTAATCTTAAAAGTATTATAATTAAATGTATAGCAAGTTCAGGAACTAAAAAAATATGTTGTGAACAAAAAGAATAGGTTTTCAATTTTTAAGGTAAAAAAATAAAATAAATAGAATACGTGATAATCATAAATACAACAACATAAATTTAATTGCTGTCGTCATCAGTTATTCGCATTCCTCTTTGACCAGTAAAAATTGTTTGTACGCGCTAAAGCGGAATTCACTTAAATCTTTAAGCTAGTGTTCGCAAACTATCGATACTATCGATGGTTTCAGACTTTTCACTTTCAGAAAATACTTTTTTGTGATATGAACATACTTCGCAAAAATTAAATATGACAAAAAAAATTTAAGTACATAAAATTTGAAATCGTGCTAAATGGAATAAAATCGTATAAAAAAATTAAAAATATTCATTTTCAAACCGTGTTATATCAAAACCGTGTAGAAAAAGACCGTGTAAAAACAGACTTAGGTGTATATATATATATATATATATATATATATATTATATATATATATATAACACAGTATGATATTAAATTAAGTGATATTTATAGCTAAGAAAAAAAAAGTGCGCCATTTAAAGAAATAATAGAAAGTATAATATTTAAACAAGAGAAAACATCGGTTTGACACATTAAATGTTTAAGGCACTCGACTGACATAATGGTTTGGAAAAAAGCAAAGTCTATTGTCAACGCGTTTCTACCGAGTCAAAGCAATGACGCAGAGTTCTACCGAGTCGAAGCAAAGGTATAAAGAGCTTCACCAAGATGCGGCAAGATGTTTGCAAACACCCAAACAGTGAAGAAACTGTTCTACACAATTGACTACACTAAAGAGTGCACTCAATTAGTATCCCTATTAATAACACAGAAATTTTTAAAATGTAGACATGTTTAAATATTTCTGTAATTTACGTTACAGCATGATGTGATTTAGCCGTGAAGTGGCTCATAATTAAATTAAAACAACAAATTAAATTAAATACAATATATTTATTCATTATTTCATTAACATCTAAGCACTTAACTATTTAATATATCATAGTAGGCATCTCCTCTGGTGAAGAGACGGACGGACGGACGGACGGACAGCATAATTAGTAGATCAAATGATTGTTCTCACTCATGAGCAACTTGAGCGTTGAAGAGCACTTGGCTTGAAGTTGTTTACTCTATAAACGAAAACAATGAATTAGTAACAAGTCTCATAAAATATACTATAAAGAATAAATTACCTGATTAATCATGGAGCGGTGTCTTCCACGTAACCCCATTAAGACCTTCATAGTAAATCTCAACAAGTGGTTTTTATAATAACTGCATAATTAAGTTAGTGAGGTTAGTCATGTTATTGAGTTAATAAGAGTTAAGTTAATCATGCATAATTATAGACAGTCATTGAAAAATACCACTTGCGAGCCATTCACATGAATGAGTGTTCAGGAGCTTGGAAGCTCCTGAGTTTAAGGCTTCAGTAATAGTTGGATCGAGAAGATCTGCAAAAAAAAAAGAAACATCATAGGAATGTTCGCATTTATACTGATTATGGATGAACACATACCTGGTAAAATGTTTCTGGAAAGATTCTTGGTGAAGGGATCTGTGTGCAGAGTAGCAGTGGTTGAAAGGATCTGGAAAAAATAAACATGTTATTTATTGTTCACATTTATACTGATTATGGATAAATCACATACTTGATAAAAGGTTTCAGGAAGGATTCCTGGTGAAGGAGTCAAAGTTCAGAGCCAAGTAGTTGAAAGGACCTGAAAAAAAAATAAACATGTTATTTATTATTCACATTCATACTGATTATGGATAAAAACGTATTTTTTAAATTAGTTTCAGAGCGATTCCTGGTGAAGGGGTCAGTGTGCAGACCAGCAGTAGTTGAAAGGACCTGAAAAAAAATAAACATGTTATTAATTGTTTACATTTATACTGATTATGGATGAAAACGTACTTTTTATATTATTTTCAGAGCGATACTGGTAAAGGGGTCAGTGTGCAGAGCAGTAGTGGTTGAAAGGATCTGAAAAAGAATAAACATGTTATTTATTGTTCACATTTATACTGATTATGGATAAAACGTACGTTTTAAATTATTTTCAGAGCGATTCCTGGTGAAGGGGTCAGTGTGCAGAGCAGCAGTGGTTGAAAGATCTAAAAAAAAAATATGTTATTTATTGTTCACATTTATACTGATTATGGATAAAACGTACTTTTTAAAATATTTTCAGAGCGATTCCTGGTGAAGGGGTCAGTGTACAGAGCAGCAGTAGTAGAAAGGACCTGAAAAAAAAATAAACATGTTATTTATTATTCACATTCATACTGATTATGGATAAAAACGTATTTTTTAAATTAGTTTCAGAGCGATTCCTGGTGAAGTGGTCAGTGTGCAGACCAGCAGTAGTTGAAAGGACCTGGAAAAAAAAATAAACATGTTATTAATTGTTTACATTTATACTGATTATGGATGAAAACGTACTTTTTATATTATTTTCAGAGCGATACTGGTAAAGGGGTCAGTGTGCAGACCAGCAGTAGTTGAAAGGATCTAAAAAAAAATATGTTATTTATTGTTCACATTTATACTGATTATGGATAAAAACGTACTTTTTAAAATATTTTCAGAGCGATTCCTGGTGAAGGGGTCAGTGTACAGAGCAGCAGTAGTAGAAAGGACCTGAAAATTAAATAAACATGTTATTTATTATTCACATTCATACTGATTATGGATAAAAACGTATTTTTTAAATTAGTTTCAGAGCGATTCCTGGTGAAGTGGTCAGTGTGCAGACCAGCAGTAGTTGAAAGGACCTGGAAAAAAAAATAAACATGTTATTAATTGTTTACATTTATACTGATTATGAATGAAAACGTACTTTTATATTATTTTCAGAGCGATACTGGTAAAGGGGTCAGTGTGCAGAGCAGTAAAGGATTTGAAAAAGAATAAACATGTTATTTATTGTTCACATTTATACTGATTATGGATAAAACGTACTTTTTAAATTATTTTCAGAGCGATTCCTGGTGAAGGGGTCAGTGTGCAGAGCAGCAGTGGTTGAAAGGATCTAAAAAAAAATGTTATTGTTCACATTTATACTGATTATGGATAAAAACGTACTTTTTAAATTATTTTCAGAGCGATTCCTGGTGAAGGGGTCAGTGTACAGAGCAGCAGTAGTAGAAAGGACCTGAAAAAAAATAAAGATGTTATTTATTGTTCACATTTATACTGATCATAGACAAAAACGTACTTTTTAAACTATTTGCAGAGCGATTTCCGGTGAAGTGAGTCCGTGTTCAATTTTCACTCGATACTCAACAATTTGCTTGATATGATTTCTTGTGGCCTCCATGTGATTTCATCTTGATGACCAGAAATAGAATGTAGAAATTTACTAGCAGTTTAAGAATTGCACTTGGTTTTATATAAAATGCATTAACATGAATTGAAAACAGTAAAAATTAAAATTTAATGTAATATGTCAAATCCACATTGCATAATCTCAAATGATTCAAACGACCACATTATTTTTCAATAGTTAAATAGATTAGTGTATTAGTATTTGTTATTAATAATAAAACTACTGATGCTACCTAACTAATAAATTAACCCACATGCAAGACATACCGTGATCATTCGAATCATGAAATTCAATGCCTTAATGATTTTGTAAATTTCTAAAAGTTATAGTGACAACTAAAGTATCGATCAATTAATATCTTGAACAAAATCACCGCTTAATAAATCTATTTGTACCAAATGCAATTCCAATAAATACCACATTCAGAGCGTCACAGTAACAATGTTCGTATAAAAACTGAAGGACTCTGGTAGCAGCAAACGCAAACCTACCCGCACCTACAAAATACACAAATTATTATTGAATTTAGTTGATTATACATACATTATTAAATGTCATTGTTGATGCGTCACCAAAGCTGTCTTCGTGTGCAATGCAGCGCTCCAGCGAAGCACAGAATAATCTTTGTTTGCATCTTTATATTCATTCAAATTGTAACTATTCTTTGTCAATTTGTTGTTCAAATTGTAACTTTTTTTCAAGTAAAAGAAATAAAATTATGCATTTAAAACAAAAAATGGCTTTCATGGAAAAGTAATTTTGCTTTAAAATTCTTGATGACATGATGATTGTGGTCCAATTTACACAATATTTCTGATCTATAAATTGAAGTGAATTAGCAGATAATAATGATGTAAATAAGACTTCAAATTAAACGTTCCGTTTAAATGTACTCATAGTAATTCTCAAAATGAATTAACAGTCATTATTTTTTACTTTCACAACGTTTTACTATTACTTTCGATCATTTCTTCTGCACAATGACCGCCAGCCATTCAATGGTGCACTCTTGCTCAGTCAACAAAATAATAATGTGTAGTTTTATTTAACAGTGTGCACCAAATGATGCAAAAAGAAATAATTAGATAAAATATATCCGGCGTACGTCTTAGACAGTAGTGCGACTTGAGCAAAAACTACATAAATCGAGCACACGTTTTCCAAAAAAAAAAAAAACAAATTATGAACGGTTTCAATTAAATCTAAAACATCTTAAAACACGAAATGTAATCCGAGTGAATCCGCAAAGAGAAATATAATTAGCACAAGTGCAACGTACCAGGTGACGCTCGCAGGTCGCATGTACTCCACAGGCAGCGAAGGGTCAGGCCCGCTCGTCCGTGTTCGACGAAGTCTCGTTGTCTTCCTCCAGCGATCGCCACGATGAAAATGAACTCTCGCAATGACAACTCCCTCCCCCAACTCCTATAGTCGCAAAGCATAGATGTGCAAAAGACTTGTAGACGTGCGACTGCAGAGCGCGCACGTTCGCTCGGTCGAAGATGGCGTTTCAGAAACTCGAACGCCTCTTCTGTTTTGAAATCGAAACGACGTTTATTTGAATCTTCAATTTTAACAATAAGGGTTTTATAAATTAAATAACAATATTCCATTCTTTTAATAAACTCTCTAAAAATTTACACTGCAATGAATTAGTCGTTGGTTATTGAAATAAATAAATTTGGTGTAGAATAAATTTCTAAATATACAGACAAGTTTTCACTGTTTTATTTATATATCACTCATAGACATGAATAATTTTGAAATCTATTAACGAAAGCAATTTTCTAATAAAATCATAATAGTTTAGTGGAATTGCTTTTAAATTTTGATAGAAAATTTAGTTCTACATTCCTGCAACACGTGAATCCATTAAATATTATATAAATACAAACATTTTTTTTTTCAAGTTTTTGCTTACAATAAAATTACTAATGATGATACAAACTAGCCACAAAACATTTGTAAACTAGCAAAGTTAGCGCAAAAGAAAGAGTCGTACTGTGTACTTATTAAGAGTAGAGTTGGTTAAATATTTTGAAATATAAAAAAAGCAAACCAACGTCAAAAGAAAAATATTAATTAATTCAAAAAATGTTTAATATTACATTTTTCTTTAAATTTCGTTTATTTTAAATAATCAAAATCAAATGACATTCTGTGAGAAAACACAAAATAAGCAATTTGAATTATCTAGTGAAAACAAACCACTCCTTTGCAAAGTTGAAAAACAATTAACAGAATAACATATAATAAATACTTCTTTTTGCATTTTATGATTATTTTAATTGATCATTACAATTTTTACAAGTGTATATCAATAATTAAATATTTTATAACTACTTAAGACTAATTTTATAAAAAAATTAGTACAGTAATCTATGTGATTACATATTGATTTAATCAGTTAGTATAAGTTTTACAATGAAACAAAACTCTAAACAAAATTTTCATTCGAATCAAACAAGTTTCAAATCTAAATTTACTGCAATCATCATATAATAAATATTCTTCAAACAGCTTAAATGGTGTTCATAATAAAATAAAACCAATTTTCAAAACATAAAAAATTTAAAAATTTATTTTTAGAAATGTGAAAATACCATACTAGATATATGTCGAAACATACACACACACATATACATCACAAACATTATAAAGTTATTGGTATATATAAGAACGCAAGTAAATATATACACACTGTAATACTATGCTATACATAAATTTAAAATCTTGTTTAAATATACGTTGCATAACTTTAGCTTTTTTATGCCTGTAAAGATAATTATATATTTCTCAAATTCATATTACTGCAGGCCAAAATATCAAACAAAAGTTGGAAATTTTGAGACTATTCTCCCTTCCTGATAGTTACCAGAGCAACAGGGAACGTGCAGGAAAAATTATAGCTTCACTAAAGGTTGAACACATTCAAACGTTGTTAATATTATTTATATTTTTATTACTTTTTATTCCTCCAGGCCAAGAATCCTGCCTACCATCTAGATTTCGACACCAGGATTTACATTTCTCACATGATCCAGCCAACAAGGCAGCGCTTCAACGCAATTGCCAAAATGTTCTACGACTCGGATATCGTGTCTATAGATTTCACAATAAATAAAAATAACAGTGATGGTACTGTCACCAAATACGATAGTGCTGCCATTATGAATCAGTGGGTTGCCAATGTTACAAGGAGACACATCACGGAATTGGTCAACCACGGCAGGTGGTGAATTTTTAATAAAATTGATTTTTATTTGACCACATATTGACAAATTTATTTTTATATCCGCTCCAGCGGATGTTTATGGTGCTGTTATGGTGCTGTTGAACGTCATATACTTTAAATACAACGTTGGGAAAATTCTACTTGGATGTCGATAAATAAATTACATAAAAAAATAAATTAAATTTTAATATATATACTAGATGGTCCAACAGACGTTGTCCTGTACCCACGTCTACAATTTTTTACAATCCTCTACTAATATATACAGTTCACCTAACAATTATAAGAATGTTTTTTTAATTACTCTTCACACCAAAATGCATATACATCATTATGACTAATCTTAACTGCTTTAGATAAAATGATGAGTCTCAATTTCCGCACTAAATTGGAAATTGAAGTCTTTTAAATGGTACAACAAAATCAGAAAAAATTAATATAGTATCAGCGGTAAAAGTACAATACTACCTTGGATTTTTTCTAATTGTTCAATAATGTTGCCTACAATTTTTAATGGGTTTTTAGTAATTATAATATCTAAATTACATCTTTCTTAGTAATAATTTAATATACATTATTACCAGAGATGCTCAGCGCCCGCTTTGCCAATTCCCTACTATTATTTTACCTGTTTTAACCATAGACCTTATATACATGGACTGCTAGTCCCCATACATTTCTCATTATTTATTATGTATATTATGATATTCAATTATTAAGATGCTTATTGTAAGACAATGAGATGAAAACAAAATGAAGATATATTATTAATAACAATTTTTGATTCTTTTTATTCATTACTTGTTTCTAATGGGTTCAATTGAAGTTTTAAAACTTCTCCTATGAATAGAATTGTTCCACTTGTCTTGTCTTGAATAAAAAACATAAAAGGTCTTGTTGCCGAGAAGAATACCTCGCGATCGTTGCCAAATTTATTGGTCAGGACAATTTCTAAAGAATAAAATGTAATATTATACACATATAAAGAAAAGACATGTACAGGGTGCCTGGGTATGTATCATTTAATACATCATTACCTGTAGCAGCATATACTGTACTTCCTTTCCCGTTAATTTCAATGCCAGCCTTTTGGATTATTCCAGATATTGATAATGTATCCTGTGGCGATAGCCCTCTTGCAATACCAGGCAGTGAGGACGTAGTTGGACTGAACACTGACTGCAGGCCCATCTAAATAATAAACTTTCAATTTCAAATCGAATAATTCTAAATAATGATGCTCTCGATCAGTAGAGGCCTTACCTCTTTTAAAGTATCAACAAGTTTTGTTTTAAAATCAAACTTGTACTTTGGTAAGGTAACATTGAGTTCAACTTCATCCATTAGCCACAATTGCTGCCTCAGTAGTTGGGCGTTCAAATTCTGTTGTAAATAGTTAGTTAGTTGTAAATAGTTCTATTCTAACTCTTTTGAGTCATGATAGAGAAAGACTCCTTGCTGTCTCATAAAAGGTACTGTGATTGGCCTAATAATAAAAATGGTGATAAATTGATTACTCCATTTGTTTATAGAAAACATTTGTTGATTTTTTTTATAAATATATACAGGGCCGTGTCTGGTCAGCATGCAGTGCGTGCACCGCGGCGGCCAAACAGAAAAAAACAACAAATTCAAAGGCGGCCATAACAAAAAGTGGTCGTAATAAATAGCTGTCGCATTAAAAGTCTACTGAATTAAAAGGCGGCCAACTCATTCGCTGCCGTATTGAAAGTCCGCTGTATATATCTAAAAAACCACCGTAGTAAAAATCAGCCAAAGGCGGCCGTATTTAATGCGAGAGCGAATCAAAAACAGGAAAGTCTAAGCTCTGTTCACAAATAATTTTTATTTGTAAAAACTTGGTATAAGTGGCAAATTGCGTAAACTTTCCAACATGTGTTAATAATCCGCTTAAATATAAAAAATATATTAATTCAAGAGTACATTGCAATGTAAAAAACTATCGCAGTTTGTAATAGTTTTTGAATTTTCAAAATCGATTCACGAATGTAGGCTATATATATATAACGTGGACAAATAATTTGATTTCCTACTTAAAGATTATGCATTTTTAAGGAAACGTCGGCTAAAGATGAAATTTTGACTCACGTAAAAAAGCGCTGCTCCTTTTTTCAAACTTTGATAGCATTTTAAAAATTAAAACAACTTACCGTAGTGTCGAAATATTTACTTATTTTTGAGACCGTGATCACTATCGGCAATAAAGTTTTATAAATATCATCGTAACGAAATATTTAACAATTCAATACGAAGAAACGATCCGACCGATCTCTTAAAACAAATCAGCACGATCCCCAATTGATATCTTTTGAACAGTTTCTGATTTTTTAAAATCGATGCAGGATTTTCGAGTTTTTGAGAGAACGGAGCATCCAATTTAAATGATCTAAAAACATTCAATTTGTAATGATGGGGAGAAGTGGTAATTAGATTTTGTCAAAGGCAGGTCCAGCCGTTACGGAGATACTCTGCTAAATGTGCAAGAAATGATAGTTTTTGAGAGAACTAAGCGTCCGATTTGAATGATTCAAAGAACTTTCTACTTATTTTAACAATTTTTTTTGTGTATATCGAAAATAATTCAGATTTTATTTTCAATTCTGACTAAAGTTTTATATCTCACATATACTAAAGAATTATTATATGCTTTTAAAAAGAATAATAGTTATTGATTTTGAATTAGAGGTTGAAAAAATACTATATACATACTACAATGCGAAGAGATAAAATATATTTTATCAAAAACCATATAACTCTTCGCATTGTAGTATTTATAGTATTTATTCAACTAATTCAGAATTAATAATTATTGATAATATTCATTCTGAAAGCATCTAATAATTTTTTCAAGTTCTGAAAAAAAAAATTAAAAACATTAACCACATATTAAAAAGCAAAGATTATTTTGCAAAAATTTTATTTTATGATATTTCGATATTAGTTAATTACCAGTGATGCGCACACATATATTGACACATTTATGTTTATTAATTAACATAATTATTTAAATATTTTAATTTTGATAATTATATGTACTTAATTAGGATGCAACTTTTTTCCTCACCACCCATGGGGTAAAGTTGCCAGGCGCGTTTTTTTAATGTGGTGTCGCCACAGAAATAGATACTTCTATTCATATTTACGTTTCTAACATTTCAGATGGAAATGGATATAGTCTAAATACTACTAAGTATCGATTTGTGCAGCCCGAAACCACTTAAACTGACTTACAAACTAATTATACCTAACTGACCCGAATATATCGCGAAAAGAAGAACCCCCGCGAAGTGACCTAATGCACCCAAAAATTTCGGTTTTTAAAAATGAAAGAACCTCTCGTGGTGAAGAAAAAAATCAATATAAAATGTGTACTTTAGTATTTTAGCGGTGATTGTAAATTTATAAAAAAAGAGCATTTACATGATGTACCCCCCAGATACACCATGTAAACACTTGGAAAAAAACTTCATAGGTTCCCAGCTTATGAAGTTTAAGGACAAATGATAATTAATTAATTAATGTAAAGAAGAGTGCAAAAAATATAAGAGAGGTTCTTTCATGGCGCCACCCTTTTGAGCTCTGAATAAAAGTACGCGAATAACCTCAAAAAAGGTACGACCGAAGATTTTAATGTCAAAACGTCTCCTAACGTAGTCAGTATGAAGATTCTTCAATTCTTGAATTGAATGTTAAAGGACCAGCATCTGGAATAAAAAAGAACATTAGTAATGCATACATCGATGTTATATATAGAGATTTTATAAAACAGTTGATGTCTTACCAAAAGATCCCTCGTGAAAGGGTCTGTGTAGAGCTTGAATTTTTAAGCTACATAAAATCTATAAAAAATTTTTCATAATGCAAAGCGATTTAGAAATTGAGTGATAATTCATTGTCAAATAAAATATATATTCAGAAATTAAAAAAAAATGAAAAAAAATTAACACCAAATAAAAATAATGGTGCGCTGATTTATATTTAATTATTGATTATTGGACATTTACTTGAAAATTTGCTTTAGCTAGTTTACCAACTATCACGCGAGGCTGACCAATTTGCAATTCAATCATTGCAGTAAATTCTAATTTATCAAACTTATTAGTCCTCTTTGAAAAGCATTTATTCCGAAGTCCTAAAATGTTTGTCCATGGTGTACAAATTTCCACATAATTGTTCTGCACAAGATTTACTATTCTATCGAAGAGATTTTGTTAGGAATTGTAATGGTCATCTTCATTTAATTTCTGGCCTTCAGGAGTTGACTGAGATTTTAAATAATCCTGAGGAGACAATCTTCTTTACTGAGGACATATTGCTATTTTGTTACCTAAAAACTATAATAACAAATACTTGAGTAAATATGAGAAACAGAGAGACCAAATTATAAAAATTGCATTCGAATCGATGCTTTGTTCTCTCAAAAACTACTATTTTGTACATTTTAAACTTCTTATGTCTGAAACGGCTGGGCCTGCATTTGCCAAAATCTGATCACTACGTTTTCTCATCATTACATATAAAATTTGTTTACGTTTCTATGGGTTTATCCGCTAGACTGCGATGGGGCGCTTACGCGCTTCGAAAATGTTCAAAATTTAAAAATCCAAATTTTTCAAAAAATTTAAATTTCCAAAAAGTCTAATTTTTTAAATTTCAAAAGTTTCAGAAACCTATTTTTTACAGTTTTAAATTTTTTTTAATATTTTGTTAAAAATTTTAATTTTTGAGACAGGAAGTTTCAGCAACTTACTTTAAGGCACTACGCCATACACCACTAGTTATTTATTTATTTAATTTTTATGAGAACAATCAATATTTCTACATTATTCTTAATGTAAAAATGCCCAAGTTGAAAATTGAAATATACAATTGACCTATTCAAATATTTTCGTAATCTTTTCACGCAATAAAATTCCTGATAAAACACATGTAAAATAAGGTGTAAGAATGATTTTTTATGTTCGCATCTCCCGATTGTTAGAATTTATGGTGCCGAATTTGTCAGCAGAATCGTTAAATCGTCCCCGCCGAACAAAACAGCACACGCTAAGCTGCCGCGGCTTATTCGGTGCGCGGGTCCCCTCGACAGATTAGTCTTGTAAGACGGAACAGCTAAGATATACGAGAGATAGATTATTTTTTCACCCTAGTGAAAGCGACGGCTTTTGATAACATATTTAATACACGAATCACCAATATGGTTAAAGAATCTATGAAATTTCTATGACATTATTAAACAAAACTTGAGGGTGCGACGCTGTAGTGCACAGGGTTCAAACAAGCAACTGGTCACTAAATGCAAAACAAACTTATGATGAATGTTTGAAGTTCAATAAAATTCTTATACCTTTGTAACTGCCAAAGATAAATAATGTATATTATGCACTTTGAGAACTATTAATATGTGTGTACCTACACCACAACGCAGAATTTTTCATGAGTCTCTTTAGTTAGTTTGCATAAACTTAAAATTTACTATAATCTATCTTTAGAGGACAAAGTTGCAATTGATTCTGTTATGATGAATACAATCGAATAAATATTGAGTATCTAGAGAAATAAAATTCTAATCAGAATTAAGTTATCTTTGGGGTTCAGTGATTTTTTTGTATTTCTCAATTCGTCGATAAATTGCATTCTTATTGCATCATTTCTGGTAATTTTTAAGAATGCATTCAGAATGAAATTCTATATCGATAACTAAATTATTTAAACATGAATATATAAATATTGTTTTACACGCAATTATCAAATATTTTTATACTATATCGATATAAATTATTACTGCGATTAGAAATAATTCCTACAAGATATATAATCTGAATATAATTTTCTCTATATAACTAAAATAAATCATTCAGCCATTCCCTCTGAAACAATTCTAACGTAAAATTACATAAGAAGATAAAATCATTCAATTTGAATATCAGTTCTATTTGTCCTCGTACTAGACAACGGACAACATTGGAGGGTAGATCAAAACATGCACTTTTTATTTTACCCGGATAAAGTTCAACAAACCAAATTCATATCATTTGATCATATTATTAACTACTATCTATAATTGCTCATATTAAAGCAGTTCTGATTATGAGAAAAAGCATCCAAAGATGTTCAAAACTAATTTTACAATATAGGAATATAATCATAAGTAGCACATTGTTAGTCGATTTTTTCTTTTGTGATCGTGTATTAAAAAAATTGTTATGACCAAAAACTACACTATTGAGCAAAACATTTAATTTATCTAAGTGTTTTCAAGTTGTCATTTTACCTTTTAATTAAATTTATTAATTAATTATTAATGTTGTCATTATTAATGTTGTCAAATTTATTCTATATATAAACTGATTAATATATAATTTTAACATGGAAAAACAGTATAGTCCAGTCATTATAGTAAGTACACATCGGAATTTAAGATACCCAGCAGTAAGTCTGTAAATACTTGTGTATTGACACCCTAAAGTTGTCTCAAAACCTACATTTTACAGATTTTGAGTCAATTCAGTATTTTGTCAGATTCGATTCCTTGGTGCTTTATTAAAGTGTGTCAATATACAAGTATTTACAGACTTACAGCTGAGTGTCTTGAATTTCGAGATTATTACCTGATTTAAGCTTAAATGACTGGACTAGTATGTTTTTCCTGACAAATCCACAAAAGAACCTGGATTTTATTAGCAATGATTACAACATATAAAGCAACATTGATTTGAAATTATGGTAGACACTTCTAAGTAAGATGTCGAGCAAGGTATTAGCCCCTTCATTATCTTTTAGGTGTATAGTACAAAACATGTATGTTACACAGACGATACAAGAAATATATCGCATACGACAGTGTTACCAGTTAGTGGTGTATCAGAGTATAGGAATAGTATATAGCAGATACAGGAAATTAAAACAATTCCAATCTGAAACATATCAGTCTGGTCCCTGTTCGGAGCCTTTCTCATACCATGTCCGGACGCTTGGGAAATAATTCACAACGAATGTAGAAACACGGCGGCGACTTGCCGACCAACTTTGTTTGTTCAAAAGAACGGATCAGTATCATCAACTATCTCAGGTAAAACATAAACAATACCTGATAGTTATTAGAAAAAGACACAGTTTATTCAATAAGATGAGGTATTGTTTTCTTTTTAATTTATTTGCACTTCATTATATATACAGGACTTAATAGTTATTCTAACTCTGCTGACGAATATTTCTGACAATATACCAGAACAAAGTTATGTACAGTGTTAAATTTGTAAAAAATGTGCTCTTGAAATTTATATTTGCGTTGGTTGAATATAGAAGCAAATATTTTGTAAAATTCTTTTAAAATTAAAATAAGATATAGTAGGGGAAGTCCCCAAGTGGCGGACACCTAAGGTTATTTATAAATAAATCAAAAAGTATTTTACGAAATGTTTAATAAATTATGGTTTATGTAAGATAACAGAGTTAGAAATCGATCTAAATTAACAAAACCGCAATCTTTGCTAAAAAATAATTGATACTATCAATCAAACTTTGGCAACAAAAAGTATCATTTTAAACAGTGGCACCTAGTAACGGACATTTCAAAATAACCTGCATTGATCACATATGTAGCCATCTCCACTTTGGAATGTGTGCACACGTGTCTTTGACGAATATTCTTAGATATTGCAAAAAAAATCACTATTTACCGATGCTCTCAGCTGGAGCATTCATGATAAGATTTTCATTCTTTGACTAGGAAATACGAAGAATGGGGGTATGTTGTGACCGTTAGCACTCAGACAGAACAAAATTTAATAATTGGGATAAATTACGTAAATTCTCACAAAAAATATCAATATGTTTACTGTCCGGCACTAAGGGACGACTTAGTGTCCGGTGCTAAGGGACAGAAATTTTCACCTACTAAAATTGGTTAAAAAATTTAATAATATTTCACCATTTTACGGATAAGAATCAAGTACAACTTTTATCTTTCCATACCACTCAAATGTAAATGCATAAATATGCTAGAATTACTCCCATTGATATATAGGTGACGCCGTGATTTTACGCCTAAAACAGGAAAGGGTTGCTCTCGCCGTGGCCGTGTGCGTCACAGGCGAGGCTTGGCACGTGATCCTGTACCTGTGTGCCCCCATGCCCTTTTCACTTGTACTTTGGAATAAAAAGATTTATACTCGCTTAAATAATACGTATTAAACAGAGTGTCCGGTGTTTGGGCCGTCCGGCGTTACGGGACTTTCCCCTATCACTGGCTATTTCACCTTTAGTAAAATAGTAAAAAAAAACACTTCTTTTAGGAATTAATTGGTAATTTTACGGTATATAGTACGATAATTGCTTGTGTGTTATATATTGTGATGTAGTTTATTTGCTTAAGATAGTATAATTACTTAAAGTCAAATTGGACCTTTGTGCCCTGCCCTATCCTCAATTATAAAAGCATTAGTATTATGTTTGATCTGATTTCTGTTTATAAATAGAATTATAAGTATACTTATTAGCAATAACTACTAATAATATACTACTGTATTTGAAAATCAGATAAACTACATACTTGTATTTAATATATCTAATATATTATTTATAGAAACAGCGTACACGTATGATATAATATCCACGTATGTATTCATATGATATTTTTATTATAATTACAAAATGAAAAAGAATTTTATTTCGCGGCTTTCATCCAATTTTTCTCCGACTGTCCGATATTTTCGGGGTTGATATGTGTCGTATGAGGTTTTGTTATTATTTCTTTTTCTGCGATAGGATTCATCGGATATGTTCCCATTGTTATCATTTCTCCGTCATGCAATTTAAAAATTGATCCAGTTTCTTGTTACAAGTTTTATATTTCATATTTTTTTGCCGATACGGGTTTCTCTGTTTATTATGAAGACTATGATTTTCATCCCAAAGATTACCAGGAATTTTGTATAGTAATGTATCTTGTTTTATATAGCTTCGATGATATGATAAATCGTGGTTGATCAATATTTATTATTATTAACAAGAGTTTTTTGTTTCTGAAATAAAAACAAACCGTATAGTTATACATACTACAAAGGCG